TTTAGTACTTTTTCTGCTATGAATATGCAATATGGGGCGTTTACACGCAAAAGAGCGTCTTGTGGGAGGAGAACATTTAAATATATTAATTTAGCACTCGCAAAGTGATTTATCAAACCTGAAAGCAATTTTGCTAACGGTATCTGACTCTATATTTAACACGTTTCAAAAGAAGGTGCAAATGGTCTGTATGCGTAATTGCGCACACATGGCAGCGGTTATTGTCGCAAGAAGGAGACATTGAAATGAAGAAGGAGACGCAGAGAACGCATTTTTTCACTCCGTGTGAATATTTTTGGAATGAACGAGGAAACGATCATCAAAACATTTCGTTTATCCAGCATTGCCATTTTGGAGCTGCAATTCCAGTGATTTGCTCCTCACAGAGCGTCAGCTGTACTTGTTCCTCAATGCTGGTCAGAGGCATCTCATGTACTGTGCCCCCTCCTGCTTTGTTCGCAGATGTTTTGTTATATGCCAGTTTTTCTTTGGTTCGCCTTCTAATATCCTGGTATCTTCTTTTTACTTCATCCACTGTTCGCAAGGTTTCACCAACAGCGTTTACTTTATTACAGATTTGTTCACATATAGCGTTCCTCTGTGTGACAGGCACACTTCTTTGCTGTAGTTCACTTAAATGTTTGTTGGCTTCATCCACCAACACCTCCATTTCCATGGGGTCGAATTTCCTTTTGCGCTTTCTGCTGTCCAAACTCGCCATGCCGCAAACCACCAAACGCGCAAAACCATCATTTAAATAGGGTGTCTCCAACAGTTTTGCACCTGCCACCAGTTACGCAATCGCTCTTGTTAAATCACCCGCAAACCATGGTTCAGCCCCTCGCGCAAAATTCCAGTTTGCGAGCGCAAATTACTGCACGCAAAATTGGATCTTGATAAATCCGGCCCTAACAGTGTGTTCAGTCAAAGACTTCTTCTGCCCCACTGCAAGATGGTCACCTGCGAAGATCCTTTATCAACATGAGGAGTAACAACATTTAACGAACCTTTGGCATCAGTGAAGTTTTTCTGTAACTGAAATAAAATGCCACATTAAACCTGTCTGTATTGCTTAGGACTTCCTTATAGCTCTAACGTTTTGTTTACCCGTTACAGGCCTCTCGGGCCCAGATTCTGGACAAAGCCACAGAATACATCCAGTTGATGAGGAGAAAAAATCACACCCACCAACAAGACATTGATGATTTAAAAAAGCAGAACGCACTGCTGGAGCAACAAGGTATGTTGAGGAGTCCTACAATAGACAATAGCCGTTATTCTGCTCTATACCTAAGCTTTTTTCTAATCACTGTGTAGTCCGCGCTCTGGAGAAGGCCAAAGGAAACTCTCAGCTCCAAACAAACTACTCCTCCGACAGCAGCTTATACACAAACCGCAAAGGCAGCACGGTGTCGGCCTTTGACGGGGGGTCTGACTCCACCTCCGAATCGGAGCCGGACGAACCGCTCAACAGGAAGAAGCTGCGCGTGGAGACCAGTTAGACTCCTGCCAGTCGAGACAGACTCTGTATCCACCAGCTCTTCTTACCTGCCCGCCTTCTTACACCAGTCAAGGAAAAGGTGGAAACTGTCTTAGAGGTGCTGTTGCTGTGTGTCCAAAACGCTTCTACCTTGCTGTATCCTTAAGGAAACCTCTCTTGTTTTTGTGGTCCCTGAAACGACTTTTAATATCCCAGAAGTTTGGCAGCTCCGCAGTTTTGAAGGACATGTTGCTTTTGAGACCTCATGATCAAACATAGAAATGGCACAGCATGAATCTTCTGTAAAGCTGCAAAATAAACTTTTTCTTTTGGTTGTTTGTGACGACCTGTATAATAATTTGAAGCTGTAAGACGAACAGCTTTGATGAAATTGTGATCAGAGATAGTTTAACTTTTTAATAGTCATATTTTTCCAGAAGAGAGTGAATTTGTCAGGAAAAAGGTTCCAACTTTCAAGAAGCAACCCTCTTAACTCAGTTTAGGCGGCTGAAATTACTTCTTTGAAAACTTTGTTATAGTGAATCCCTCTTTTAATGCACTAAAATGTATTTCATATCCTTATATTGTTTATTGATATGTTTGGTCTCTGTAATGATTGGATTTGGGGTAGACCATCTACCAGTTTTAGAGCATTCAACTATTTATTTCCCTCTTTTTTTATCTTAGTAAAAATATATAGATATATATGTGGTTTAAAAATGATCCCTTAATCAATAGTGAATGTTACACAACGCAGTTGAAGGGCAGTACCTTTATTTTTGTTAATGGAAATCCGTTTCGGTGTGTTGTATGTAACACTGTATACTCCTTAATGGTGTCAGTTCTGCACAGAAAAGCCTTCCCTTAAAATATTTGCCTGTGCTGGGAATGTTGATCTTTTAAAAGTCAGAAAACATTGTGTGTATGTAATCAATATTTGTTCCATTCCATGGAAATTACAGGTATGTTGTACATACTGCCAATGGGTGTCTTGCAAGTTAAGGCATACCTTTATTACGAGACTATAAATAAAACTATTTTATCCTTTTGGGATGTACTTGTGACTCAGTGTTTGGTTATTAAAATTTCACATCGGTCCACCATGTTTTGACATTAACTGTATGGAATAATTAATTGTATTTTTGATTTGGAGAAACAAATATACTCAGAGTAAAAATAGGGATGGGCAATTTAGAATTTCACAATTATAGTTTTTATAAAGCAAGTTTTATTTTTGATTTATGCTCATTTTACTTTATGACATCACAAGTAGGCAAACAAGCATGCTTCACCAGATTGTAAACATATTAAAGGAGTGACTTTTAATTAATTTTTCTACATGTTGAAACATTCAGGCTGCATTTGACTTGCTAAAGGTTCCCCCTGCATGTTTGAGCTGGTGAATAGATACAGAAATGATCAAATTTCTCCTAACTGTTCGGTTTCTTTTATGTTCACCAATCATAGGAGCAAATTAATCTAATTTTATGACTTAACTGTTTAAATTATTTGTCTGTATCGTGGCAGTCCATGCAGTCTGGACTATTTTAGCTTACATGAACATCTGATTGATTGGCAAAGAGATTTTACCTCGGTTGTTATTAACTTGAATAATTGCAGCTCTGGATGCTAATTCAAAGGATTAGAAGTAGCTTCTAAGTTAGCACACCTCACAGACACAACTTTCATCAGCATGGCGCAGGTTTTAAAATGTATGCTGTTAAAAAATCACTTATCAAATAAATTAATATAGAATAGATGCCCTTTATAATTTTTGATTTGATAAATTTATATGTATTAATGTTTTCAAACGTTTTAATTCTATTCCCCTCTATTCCTTTTGCATTAAACCAATTTTCTTGGTTTTATATATATATATATATATATATATATATATACACTATATTGCCAAAAGTATTTGCTCACCCATCCAAATTATTGGAATCAGGTGTTCCAATCACTTCCATGGCCACAGGTGTATAAATTCAAGCACCTAGGCATGCAGACTGTTTTTACAAACATTTGTGAAAGAATGGGTCGCTCTCAGGAGCTCAGTGAATTCCAGCGTGGAACTGTGATAGGATGCCACCTGTGCAACAAATCCAGTCGTGAAATTTCCTCGCTCCTAAATATTCCACAGTCAACTGTCAGCTGTATTATAAGAAAATGGAAGTGTTTGGGAACGACAGCAACTCAGCCACGAAGTGGTAGGCCACGTAAACTGACGGAGCGGGGTCAGCGGATGCTGACGCGCATAGTGCGAAGAGGTCGCCAACTTTCTGCAGAGTCAATCACTACAGACCTCCAAACTTCATGTGGCCTTCAGATTAGCTCAAGAACAGTGCGCAGAGAGCTTCATGGAATGGGTTTCCATGGTCGAGCAGCTGCATCCAAGCCATACATCACCAAGTGCAATGCAAAGCGTCGGATGCGGTGGTGTAAAGCACGCCGCCACTGGACTCTAGAGCAGTGGAGACGCGTTCTCTGGAGTGACGAATCGCGCTTCTCCATCTGGCAATCTGATGGACGGGTCTGGGTTTGGCGGTTGCCAGGAGAACGGTACTTGTCTGACTGCATTGTGCCAAGTGTAAAGTTTGGTGGAGGGGGGATTATGGTGTGAGGTTGTTTTTCAGGAGCTGGGCTTGGCCCCTTAGTTCCAGTGAAAGGAACTCTGAATGCTTCAGCATACCAAGACATTTTGGACAATTCCATGCTCCCAACTTTGTGGGAACAGTTTGGAGCTGGCCCCTTCCTCTTCCAACATGACTGTGCACCAGTGCACAAAGCAAGGTCCATAAAGACATGGATGACAGAGTCTGGTGTGGATGAACTTGACTGGCCTGCACAGAGTCCTGACCTCAACCCGATAGAACACCTTTGGGATGAATTAGAGCGGAGACTGAGAGCCAGGCCTTCTCGTCCAACATCAGTGTGCGACCTCACAAATGCGCTTCTGGAAGAATGGTCAAAAATTCCCATAAACACACTCCTAAACCTTGTGGACAGCCTTCCCAGAAGAGTTGAAGCTGTTCTAGCTGCAAAGGGTGGACCGACGTCATATTGAACCCTATGGATTAGGAACGGGATGTCACTTAAGCTCATATGTGAGTCAAGGCAGGTGAGCAAATACTTTTGGCAATATAGTGTATATATATATATATACGTATATATATATATACATATATATATATATATATATATATATATATATATATATATATATATATATGTAATATAAAACCTATTTGAAGATATGTTAAGTTAAATTGTTCAAATAATACGCTTCTTGTTGCCTTTAACGGATTATCAAGAATTAAGGTGACAGAAAATAGTTATTTTTTATAGTTATTTTTTATTTTATATATATATATATATATATATATATATATATATATATATATATATATATATAATCTTCAATATATATATAGGTTGTTAGAGTATGTTCTAAAACAAACTCAAGGAAGCGAGCTCAACTCCCTGCTGCGCTGACGAAGACTTTGCATCAGTGGAAGCGGGATTTCCGGCGTGCCCTGAAGGCAGCATCTGATCCCGAAGCCTGCAGATGAAAAAGGTTTCTTTCTCCGTCATGTTCTAGTTTTTTTTTGGTCATGGCTAAACAGTACGACGTCTTGTTCAGGTTGCTTCTCCTCGGAGACTCCGGAGTGGGGAAGACCTGCATGCTGCGAAGGTTCACGGAAGGTGAATTTGATCCTTCGCATATTTCCACCATCGGTAAGACTAGAAAAGTCATCAGACAAGTTCTCAGTGTTTCAGTCACAGGATGAACCGGATAAACACTCAGTATAGGACAACTCTACATGTCTGAGAATTATTTTTAGTATTTCTTCTGCCATCATTGTTTTTCCCTTTTATATTGACTTTATTTATTGGTATAATATCACGGACTACTTCAGGTCCCTCTGCAAATAGTTTTTTCTAAAACCCTAAAACATTTTGAAAGAAAAAGAAAGTCTAAACTAAATGTCAATCTTTCTCATTCTGATTCTTCTTCCTGTGTTTTTGTTTTGTTTTTAGAACAAAAAGTGTGGATTGATGAACACATTAGGGCTTAATATGTCCCCTGCTCCTTTTCCTCTCCACTTCTCCCTCATTATTCACTTAGATGGAAAATGTAGCTGGTTGGGCTTTAATGTGCCATGACTAAAAATATCAATTCTCTGCTTTATAGTGTGAAGCATTAAGCCGGGTTATAAATGTCATGAGACTAATAGGCCGGGCTCAGCTTAACATTGGATTAAACTCTGTTATTTGAGCATTGGACATGAAATCTGGGCTTTAGATCTCTGCAGGCAGTACCTTCAAAAAGTATTCAAGCAACTTGATATTTTCAAAATTTGTAATGTTATGGATCAATATATTTGGGTTTTTTTATTTGACAATCTTAAAAAAAACATGTCTAATGATTTCTATTATATTAATCTAAAAGTTTATTCATCCCCTTTGCTCTGATACCCCTTAAATAAAATCTTATATAAATGTTTACAATATAACCTTATTACCAAGAGACGGCTTATCTCAGTTTAAATGCAGCTGTTCTGCATAGAGCCTCAGAGGGTTTATTTATTTGCATCTATATAGTTGAGAAGGATTGAAAACTTCAAACATCTCATATTACTTTAACAGAACATTTTATTTCTTCAGTACATCTGCAAAAAAGTTGGAGCTGTAGTTTACTTAACTCTTTAAAACAGACACTTTCAATTGATTTGACTATACAAAAAAAAGTGGCAAAAATGTCATTTTTTGATGCATAAAGCTGGTGGAGCTATACCTCAAATGAATTACAGCTGTAAATGCTGCAAAAATGTTTCTTAGAAGTGTTTAATGAGAGAGATACATGCAAACACCTGCCAAACTTCTTATTTGATCATTTCTGGAAATAAATTTAAAAAATACAATTATGCACTTCCTGTTGTAGGTTGAGTATTTTAATTCTGTATCATATTTTCTGTTAAAATCCCATCTAAATACACAAATGAATGTGGAAGTTATCTGGGAAGATTGGAAAAACTTCAAGGGTTATAAATGCTTTTGCAAAGCACTGGAGCTCCTGCAGAAGGTTTGAAACATTCACCAGCAACAATTTGGCATCACATAGTGTGAGAGATGCAGACGGACTAATTGGACGGCATGAATCCACGCCAAGCTTTGAATCCTTCATGGGTCAGAGAGTAGATGTGTACTGAAAAAAAAATTAAAGGGTGGATTTTAAACTTCCTTCTACATAGCTATTGTTTTCAAAAATATTTCATGACGTAAATCCTAATTTTGATACCAATTAGGAAGATTCTAAGAAACGATTCAGAGAATGTTTCTTATGAAAGAAGAATCAATTTAAATGCCGTTTTGAAAAACAAGTTTTCCTCACTAAACCTTTTGTCTGTGTTGGTGGGATGAGGATAAAGTTCATAGAGGACTGTGTACAATCTGTGTTTTAATATAACCCAGTTATGCTGTCACTGAGCATAAACAGTGTCACCGTCTCATAATTAGCACATAATGGTGTCTCTGAGCTACAGCTTTGAATCCTCACAAGTTACTTATTTAAGGTCACAAATAGGTCGATTTTCTACCCAATGGCCAAAAGTGATCCATGCATTATCTTTGGAGAATTTTCCGTATTGTGAAGAAACTTTAAGCCTAGAAAAGCCCAAAGAGCTGTTCTCTTTAAGGGAAAATGTTTCCTGATCGAACCGGTTATGCTCTGCTTGCAGAACATATTTTCAGAGTCATGCAAAAGGCTTATTGTTGCACATGCTCCCCAGCTTCCTGCTGGGAGAGATCACTTAAAATATGAATCAGAGGGACCACGACTTCTAAAGAGTACAGTCTTCATGTAAGTTTGAAAAAAGAAATAGAAAACTTAATGCTGGAATTTTAAGTTGCAAAGTTTTTTATTAAAGATTCCAAAGTTCCCTTCGGTTCATCTTTTTATTAATTTTTTTGTTATTTCACAAAAAATATATAAAATAACATACAGAAGTATTAAAGATAGAAATTATTTCAGCTGAAGAATGTTAGGATCAAACTAGTGATTAGTGGGCATAATGTTCTATTTTGTTTTTCCTTTTTTTTTTTTTTTATAATCCTTTGATTAGCAGAAAAAATTGTGAATGTATTACCTGTAATCAAAACAATTCCTTCCCCAGAGATAAGGAAAAAAAAAAAACAGCTCCTATATGTTTAAATTTCTTTACAAAGAACAGCACAGTTATTTTTCAAAATTATTCCATGTAACTGTGCAAAAATCCCACTTCAGTTTTGGTTATATTGCAGATTAGAGAAACTTATTGCACCATGCAAACTGGTGAGTTTAAGGGTCCCGAACGTCAATTCACTTTGCAGCAATGCCTCCTGTTAAATGAGCATGAGACGATACTAAACGGCCGATTGTATCAAGTCATGCACTGCCAGTGAAAATCCTTTTTTTTTTTTTGTTTTTAGAGATTTCTTTTGCGTCATCTGTAACAAAATTCTCCCTTCCTGTTTTTTTTGTTTAGGAGTGGATTTTAAAATGAAAACTATAGAGATCGATGGACTCAGGGTCCGAGTACAGATTTGGTACGTTGTCGATTCTTTCAATACAGAAAATAACTTTTCACCTGAATGCCGATAGCTCTCTTTATGACTGTTCTCTTAAGTGTTTTATCTCCTGTGCAGGGACACCGCTGGACAGGAGCGCTATCAGACTATCACCAAACAGTACTACAGGCGGGCCCAGGTATTAATATTACAAACTTTACTTTAATTGATCAAAAATTCCTTCATTCCTCCTCCTAATCGTTTGTTGCAGGGTATTATATTTGTGTATGACATCACAGACAGGGCGTCTTTTCAGCACATAGCGAAGTGGGCCGGTGATGTAGATGAAGTAAGAGCTCTAATTTAACTCTAATTACTCTTTCATCAGGTTGATGGAGCAATTTACTCCACTGTTTGGGTTCCAATGTCCTTTTTTTTAACGTACAGAACGCTCCAGATGATGTTCAAACCATTTTGGTTGGAAACAAAGCAGATGAAGAGTGCAGCAGACAAGTAACAAAGGAACAAGGACAAAAGGTACAATTAGGCTTCTCCGTTATTTACTGGTTTCCAGAAAGTTGATTTGTGAAGAAGGAAGTACAAACCTGCAAATGAATTGAAATGTTATCAGAAGGTTCCATTATTTCTGTTATTCAATTCAAAACAAAAACAACACAGATGAATTACACACAGGCAGATGTTTTCCAGCCTGAAGATTGATTCAGACCCATACAAATTTATCATAAAAATGGAAGCTTAATAAAAAAGTTTGTCTACTATCCACTTAAATGCTGTCATTTTTTTTAAATTAATGCATATTTAATTTACTTTGAAGAGATGTGACCTTATTAAATCTTACAGCTAGCAGAAACCTACGGCATGGAGTTCTTTGAGGCCAGCGCTTCCACCAGCAGCAACATCAGCGAGGTATTGCTGATCCAGAATAAATCTCATTTTAGTTATATTTATAGTGTCTTCTAAAAGTGATTATGCCCCTTTTATTTCCTCAAACTATATTGAATAATAATGGGAATTTATCTAGCAAAGACAACACAATACAGAACATCATTATGATTCCAGATTATACACAGGAAGATATGAAAAATATATTTTTTCATATTTGAACCACTGCTTGCAGACTTTACTCTCCTGCAATTAGAGCTGCAGGTCTTTTCAAGTACACTATTAGCTTTTTGCATGTAGTGACAGATCTTATTGATAATTTTTTTTCACAGAAAAGTTCAATGATTTTGATTTTCGGTGGATTATCACCACACATGAACATGGCTCTGACTGTAAGCCTGGTAAACAGTGGTGGTTTTAGATATGGGCAATATGGGTGGTTGTCCAGGGCAGAATTAGAAAGGGGTGCAAAAGCACCAGAGAAAGAAAATACAAGAAATCAATCAGATTTCCCTTGAATATTTTATTTATTGCCTTTATGCATTTGCAGTCAACAGGAGTTTATTTTTGGTGCTTTGTGTGAGTCTGAGTTGCATTTTATTCATCCCCAAAATTTGAATGAAACTTCTATAAAACTTGTATTTTGATTAGTTTGATAGCAGCAAAAGGGGGGATTACTTTCAACATAACAATAATAATAATTATCATTATTCTAAAACTTGAAAATTCATTGGCTCTCTAGCCAGTTAAATTACCTTTAAAACATGGCTTATTTTAGTAATGCAGCCAAGATATATAGCCAAATAGTAAAAGGCACAGATGCAGGTCCATTCTTGGATCATTGCACACTTTTAGATAATTAGATGGAAAGTTTGAAAAATGAAAAAAAAAAATATTTGCTTTAAAATTATTTTGTGGCCATCAAAATGTGGTAAAATTGTTGAGTAAAAGCAATATGCAAAATTTGTAATAATTTGGCATATTTTGGAGAGGTTTGGATATGCTGATGACTTCAGAAGTTACTTTGAATCATGTTTGAACTGATGCAGTTTAGGCTGTGTTTTAGTCACATGTTTTTTATATTTTCAGAAACTAGAAAGTGTTAGCTTTCTAGTTTCTAATTTGGGCTTACAGTTCTTTAGTAATTTGCTTTTTAATTTTGGGTATGCAAAAAGGTGAGAATTACTTAAAATTCGGTGGATGTTAAGAGGTTAATACATTGTACACACTCACAAAATACACTGAGGTTTGTGATTTTATTGTGATAAATCTAAAAAAAAATGAATATGTAGCATGGCTTTTAAAAGAAATTTAATATTTCTCCATCTTTTCTTGCTGTAGTCATTCATACGTGTGACAGAACTGGTTCTTCAAGCTCAAAAGAGAGACGTGGACAACCTTCTGGGGTCTCTGGACAGCTATTTGGATCAGGTCGCTCTGCAGGAAGAGAAGAGCAGTCAGGATAATCACACACAGAGGACTTGTGCCTGTTAAAGGATGAAGGCTGTAGGAATATCTAAGGTTACATCTTTTTAACTGCTTACTGACTGCTTAAAACATAACTTCACACACTGGAGGGCGCTGGATCTCTTAATTTTTTAATGTAGGTTGCAAAGGATGCAGTAAACAGCAGCTGCCAGCAGAGGGCGTGTCTGGCTGAATGAACAGGAAATTTTGGTGCCAGATAAGTGTGTTCAACTCAAATTAATTCTCTCTTCAAATGTGGATTTTTACTATATATATATGCATCATGGGTTTATCACTGGATTTATTTACTTTTTGATTTTTATTGTCATTTTTATTATTAGTTGATACTCAAAGGAACATTAACAACCATATTTTTTCAATGACTATTACAGAAAGGTCAGATCACGGATCTAATTTATTAAGCTAGAAACTCGAACCAAATTGGGGTAGTTTCATTTAATCTGTGGACTTTCGCCTCAAAGGAAACACAGCTGTACCATGTGGAGGAATATTTATCAAAATGTTGCTTTAAGAACTCATTTTTCAATACTTTTGGAAAATTGAAGACATGTCTTACACTGAAAATACTGCTACAGACAAGGAGATTCATGTTTCTTAAGGAGATTGTTGATGTTTGTTATAAAATTCTAAATAAGAACTGAAATGTTAATGTAAAACAACTGTTTCCATGTTTAAACAAAACAAAATTGTCAATCTTAAGAGTCATTTTATCAGGACTGCATTGATGTTAGGTTTACGGGGAGTTCAGTTAGTAGCCTCATATAATTTTCATCAGATCCTGGCAGATGTAGCTGATTGTTTTAATTTTTGATGACTAAGAAAGCTGATACACGTACAAAGAGCTGCAGAATAGCCAAACACACTAAATTAAACTAGCTTCTCAAACGAGTTCTGTCATTTTTTTTATTTTCTACACTTTATTTACTTTATTCAAGACTTTTATGTTATACAATAAAATATTTCTCTGTATTTCGACCTGTTAATTATGTTAAAATAATAATGATTGCTTATGAAGTAGAAAAAAAAAACAAAGTCCTGCAAACATTTGGGTCCAACTTTCTGTGCTTTGATATTTCTAAACAAAATCTATTACAATCGACTGGCTTCAGAAGTATAGTCTAACATTAATCAGGCCTTAACATGAGTAAACAAGCAGCAACACAAAGAAGAAGGAACATCCCAGACTGTTTAGAGATGAGGTTTTGGAGAAACTGAAAACAGGGTAAAGTTATGAAATCCTGGTCATTAAAATCAGAATCAGATTGACTTATTCTATGATAAAAAATGGGCAAAAATGTAAGTTTTAATGAGCACAGCTGGTAGAAGCATAAAGCAAAGGATGTGAACCAATAATTACAAGAAAGGTGTTTTTTTTTTTCCTGGTATTGGCTCTTCAAATGTACACCAGTGTTTTCAGGGTTTTATTTTGTCATTTTGATTTTACTTAGTGACTTTGCACTAATTTGATTAATAACATTTTCCTTCAAATGCACTTTATGAGATGTACTTGTTTGGTTTTTACAATCAGTTTCCTCCCTCTACTGTATTTGGAACTTGTATGGAGAGTTTATCACCAGGCGATCAGTTTCCTGCAGGGCAATATGACACCGTGAAAGGCAACTTTCTGCTCTGAGGGAGTCAGGTGATCCGGGTGTTGGATACAGTCCCGTTTTGAGCCCCAGTCTCCCTGTAAAGAGGCACCAAAATGACCTTCATTGCTAAGACTTTCTATGATCTGAGGGCCACCTCACTGGAAGGGGACTCTGTGGACTTCAATGTCTTCAGGGGACGCGTTGTCCTCATAGAAAATGTGGCCTCGCTCTGAGGCACCACCACCCGGGACTTCAGCGAGCTCAACCAGCTACAGAGCAAGTACCCCCATCGGCTGGTGGTCCTGGGCTTCCCTTGTAACCAGTTTGGATATCAGGTGAGTTGAGCTGCAGGTTCGTCTGAATTACTTGGATGTTAAATCTATGCTGCTGTTAAATACTTCAAAGATGAGCTAATTTCCTAAAGGAGATTTAGAAAAATGATTGGAGTTAGTAGAAAGAGATCCACAGCATTCATGTCTGTATTGCATGTTTTCAGGAGAACTGTAGCAATGGGGAGATTCTGCACTCACTGGAGCATGTACGACCAGGTGGGGGCTTCAAGCCCAACTTCACCTTGTTCGAGAAGTGCGACGTCAACGGAGCAAACACCCATCCAGTCTTTGCCTATCTGAAAGCCAAACTACCTTATCCTGAAGACGACTCTAGTTCCCTCATGCAGGACCCCCGATTTCTGGTGTGGAGTCCAGTCACCAGGGCCGACATCTCCTGGAACTTTGAGAAATTCCTCATTGGGCCTGAGGGAGAGCCTTTTAAGAGATACAGCAAGAATTTCCCAACTATTGATGTAGAGCCTGACATTCAAAGACTGCTTAGATTAACAAAGACCTAAGAATAGCCTGTGCTGCTTATGGCTTTTCATCTGTCACAGTCAACGCTGAAATGCTGGCCTCCACATTTTTAAGCCTTAGTAAATGAGGGTGATATTCTAAAACGCTGATGGTATATCATCTGAGGTCATATAAGTGCTTAAAGATAGTGGAAGTTTTGTTTCATGTTTGAAAAATTTCTGGGAAATTAAAAGCAGTGTTTTATAGATATGATCAGTTAAAAAACAAGGATGTAAACTTTTAGTTTCTTGTCTTATACTAGTGCTACCAGCAGATGGTGCTACCGAGTTAATCATGCAAATGGAAACTTCAGTCATGCTCTTATCAAATGGAAAAATTCAAACAATATGTTTGCACTGAAATAAAAACTTAAAATCCACATTGATCTCTCAGAGATGTTTTTTTTTTATTTACTTGAAGTCTCAAAAAGCATCTACTACCACTAAGCAAAGCTCACAATAAAGGTGTTTGAACAACTACCTAGAACAATAAATCTTGAGGTGCAGCAGAGGGAATTTGGTATTATTTTTAGAACCTTCTAAAATAACCAACAGGATATACATCAGCATTACGTACTGACCTCTAAGCAGCCAATTATTCAAGCCACATTTCCAGGTAAAATTTGCTGATACAAGTAACCTATGCAGCTGCAGGAATGCATTAGTGCCACATAGCTTCCTAAAGACAGCTCCTAAATCAATCATTTAGGCATTGGCCTTGCTGTGGTGTGATAAGCTCTCATCCAGCTTTGGTTTTCCATGTACGGACAGCTTTGTTTGCAATGTCCACAGATTAACATGGGATTTTCTGGACATCCGCTCACATTCACATCAGTTCATGATGTCAGAGCTGCAGCACAGGTCAGGCAGGGTCCTGATGGGTTTTGCATCGAATGCACTGGGGTCAAAGACGTAAGCCCACGACACTTTACAGCTTTTATCTGTGTTTGTGTTGGCTCTTGTGGTTATAAACTACATCCCTGATTTTGCATGTATACAAATGACACTAGAAAAAGTTTGGTTCTGATGCATGTCGACGTGTCATTTATTTAAAACTGTCACTGATGCTTTGCTGCATTTCTGGTGTTTTGCTTGCAGGAAAAGATCATTAAAGTTATTCTGTTTATGATATAATTTACACAAGTCAAAAAGAAGTTGTATAAAATTACAATATTTATATCAGAAAACATTTCTTAAGGATTAGAAAGAGTGGAATATTATTATTCAACTCATAGATAACCGGTCCTACTGTTACAAGGGCGTAAGAGTCTGTGGCAATATTTAGGGCCCTGTCTCTGTGACTCGGAGACATGGACACTTCTATAAATGTGTTAGAAAAGAGGTAAGGTTTAAATAAGATGCTAATTTATATTTTCAATGTTTTTCATGATGCATAGTGTGTCCATTTAAATGTCTGAATAATCACTACTTGTACTGTCTTTAAATGACAATAAGAAATGCATGAGAACTATGTTTTATAATTTAGAAAACAAAAACATGTCCAAACATGTTAGACCAGCTCTGTTTCTTTTAACATAGTTACTTAAAAACATGAACATACCAGTTTAGGTTAATTGGCTGCAATAAATTGGCTTCTTGTGTAAATATTGTGTCTATAATTATGCTGAACTAATTTTGTCTTTAATGATTTAAGAAAACAATTCTAATTGTAAGATTTCTCTAGACTCCATTCTTGGGAGTTCATTGGAGTTTTTAGTTAACAAGAAATGTTACTCGCCTATTGTCTCATAGTGGTGACAACCTTACAATTCATGAGCACGTACATACATTAAATCATTGTTTTAATAATATAATTAGTGAGGTCAGGATTTATTTCAGTGAAATGTAGAAAGGATGCATTGTTTTTAGTCTCAAAATGTCAGGCTAGATCAAAACTGAATTTGAGTTCATGAGGTGAAAGACCGAGGTTTTAAGTCAGGTTTATCCGTCTACCTCACAATCATTAAGAAATCTCCAAAAAATTAAGGATTTCCACACATGCTACCAAAACCCATTAGAATACAAGGACTTCTAGTATAACACTTTTTATTTTGGAAGACAAGTCTAAATCTGATTTATTTGGACACCAGAACAAAGTGTCAGGCGCCATTACACCAGAGCAGGGCTGCAACTAACAATGTTTTTTGTGCTACCAATTAATCTATTGATTAATTATTCTAATTATCAATTAATAATAAGATAGCAAAAAAAAAAAAAAATATATTTATATATTTTATTTACAGAATTAAAAAAGATGAAACTTAAACTTTTCCACTTGAGGAGTTCTGAATAGATCATATTGAAAGATGAAAAGTTTTCTTTTCCCTTAAATGTAAAATATTTTTAATTTTTTTGCAATATTGGTATAATCACTGCTCTAATTGGGTTGCTTTGTCAGCTAAATGCATGTTTTTGAGTCTCCATACTTTAGTTGACATGTAATCGTTACAAAATTAGTTGATGATTATCTTAATTATCGATTAATCATGATACACCAGAGTTCGATCACTTTTTCCTTTTTTTAATGGGTAAAACAAAATTTTTATTTTTTGTGTACCTGCTGATTAAGTTGTTTTCTTCTAATATACCTAAATGTGAACAACCTTTAAAAAAAAAAATTCAACCACTGCATTTTCGAACCAGAGTGAGAGCTCTTTCATATTTTCCTTTATCCAGCATCCACAGGTGAGCTCTGTTGCCACAGCAACGCTTTACGTTTTTTTCCCCACTTACCGTGCTTTCTCGCGAGATTCCTGTGGGTAGAGGGAGGTGAGGGGAGGCAGAGCCTGAATGATCTCATCTCTAGCAGCTGCATACCGCAGCGAAGCAAAGCCGTAACTTTCTATCAAACTTCCGAGTTGCGTTTCGGAACCAGACGGAGGGACAATTTCCAGGACTGAAACCGAAGCCAACACGTTCCTTAGGAAGGCGAGGAAAGGAGCCGCCGCGTATTTTTGTGCGGGACCTAAAACAGCAGCACCTTTAGTTGAGACAAAAGGAGGAAAACGGCGCTGTGTGACATCCTAAAAGGAGAAAAGGTGAGTGGGGAACGTGGCCCTGGTCATGTGTAAAGCGCACTGACATCTGTCGGCTCTCTCTGTTAGAAAACAACGCATATCTTTGTGTGTGTTTTTTTCTTTTTTCCAGTGCGCAATCAGTGCCAGTGGTGTCTCTTTTTTAACTAATGGTGGTGAAACCGTCTGTTTCACTGCTGTTGTCTAAATTCAGAAATTCCCTTGAATCTCAAGGGCGCTTTTTGTACACAGGTGGTATTTTCCACGCTCCAGAATTACACGGAGGATGTAGGCTGATCTAAACAAATGAATGTGTCACCAACCGTTTACCTGGAGATTTCCTTCTCCTTTATCTGTGTAACCCTGAGTTGTCCCTCAGCCATGTCCAGCTCTCCTTCTGCTGAACATCAGGCTGATACTAATCACTGGATTTTCTGACTATAAATGCAAAATATTTAAATCCAGTAGTCCTGATTATCCCAAAGCAAACTCTACATTTAAATTTTTTTTTTTTTTTTTGATGAAGACTTTTAGAGTTTAGTTATGTTTGAAATGGGCTATATGGCTCTTTGACCAGGGCGACATGACCTGGGTGGGCGCTACTACTATGAAAAAGTTATGACAGTTGCATCCTCAAAAGTTTGTTTGTTTGTTTTTTTTTTGTGAGTGTGTGCTTAGTAATACAGTGTAATCCGCTTATAGTGATCACGTCCAGAGCCAATTTGAACACTATAAGCGGTTGATTTCACTTATTTTTTTATGCAGAATATCATCTAAATGCCATTTGTGTGGTTTTTCTTTTTTTCTTTTTTTTTTTTTTACAGTGTCCTGTCTGGCAATGTGGCAATAAGAATAATTGTCTTGATGCCAAAAAGAGTCTAACAGATTTTACTTTCACAAGTGGAGCAGTAGGGCTATTGCCAGAGTGTTCCGCTTGTTTCATGCATATAATTATGCAGGGAGTTTTACAGATTATATGGACACTGCAATGTAAATGGAATAGAAAAGGGAAAACGAAAAGATGAAAGAAAGAGGAGATAGAAGGGAGATAACGAGAAAACATTTTCAGTCTGCTTCATCACCTGCAACGAAATGTAAAAAGAACAGCACAACCAACAGACATGGTACGAGACATACAATGAAGTAACACCTTCAAACTATTGCTGAAGTAGTATTATTTAATCTGACATGTACTCTGTGTTACCTGAAGATAAGAATGTGGGCTTTCTGTATGGAAGCGAATCTCAGAGATTCGCTTCCATTTGTGTGGTCTTTCAATGAAAAAAATGAAATGAAACTGGTAGCTTCTGCATTTACTGAATTCTATTGCAGTACCATGCATCTTTAGACTTAGACAGATTTATTTTGTCATTTTGTGTATACAAAAAGAAATTTAGTTTTAAACAGCTCTAGACAATTACATTTTTTAAAGTGCAGCCTTGAAAACAGTAATAAATACATTAAAAAATAGTAATATAAATATATGACTGTATATTTTTAATGACAGTATACTGTGCTGTGCAAGTCTTCAAGTCTGAAGTTTGAAACAAACGGTTTCATAGAACAATTACATAGAAGATAACTGCATAGGCTACAGAAAATTAAAGCTAGCCTACCTCTGTTTTGTGTTGCGGATCTGCTGCGCCGCATTAAGAAATGACTTCACATATTTATCAATGGTTTCCTTGATCAGAGTGATGTCCAACACAGAGTTCACTTCTTTTCCAAAATGATATAAAAGGTCAACGTTTTTTAAACCAACATGCAGGAGACCAGTCTTTAAAAAGCAAACTGCATTCCTCATCTCAGCTCTTGAAGAGATAACGGTCTCCACATATTCATCCTTCATTTCCAGTCATGACTCGCAAGATAGTTCTAGCTGCCCGATCGTCAACTTTTTACTTTAGCTAGCTAGGCAGAAGAACAATAAAATAACTAGGCTACACGTAATTTTAAAATGATTTTTGCACATGTTTACATTCATAAAATGGCCAAAAATGAACACTATAAGGGGATTTCTTGAGTACTTTAAACAAATTATTTAAACAGCATTTGTATGAAAATGATTCTGTCCCAAGCCTTTTGATCTATATTAGCGGTTGATTACAATATCCGTGATCACTATAAGCGGATTCCACTGTAGTTGCTTTGTAGGGGAAAAAAAAGATGCCTGGATTGTGGCTGGTTAATGACAAGTATGTTCTTCCACAGAAATAATAAACCAAAGGGCTAAAAACTATTTTTCTTTTTTCTTTTCAATAAATTGTGTTTTCTTTATAAGTTATATAAACTGCCTGGATTTAGTGTGGTGATCAATGCAATTCTTTTTCTAAAGCAAAAAACTATCCTTTTCTCTTTCATTTTATGTTTCCATTGAGATATGTTAAAGTGATCACTGCTGCACCTTATATTGGTAATGTTTATCTACTCCAACTGCAATATCGTTACAACTGTTGTAAGGTGTACACAACAAAATGTCATTTTGCATACAAAATGACAAAGTCTGAAGGTTCTTGTTGATTGAGGGAATAGGAGTGCGGGGAAAGGATGAGATGTAACAGAACTCCAGCACATTAGCAGCAGAATCTCTGTGCTTCATCATATATGTTTTATGATTAAATAGAAGAACAAAAGGTTTGGACTTTAGCTCTGGGCTAGGATCAAGGACTTTTAGCATTCCCCATAGGCTTAGCTGACCTGCAGCGGCGGGCATGACTGATCACAAAGCTCCTCTGCCATCCTTTCTGTTGAGTCTAATCTCACACTAGACTGCTCCTTTTTACTTTTGATGGAATTCCTTCCTGCAGTGGATAAATCTAAGGCAAATGCAGCAGATTTATTGTGTTGATGGAAAAGAAAAGCTCCCTCTGTGTTGCTGCACGAGCCTAAAATGTCTCATTTGAGGTCCTGAGACTAATTTCAGTAACAGCAGGATAAGCAGACATGCATCATTCCAAGGGGATTTTGGAGTTGATTTTTGCCCCTTGTGGGAGCCAAAAATACTAATTTTCATGTTTTTCATTGGTATAAATAGTTCTACCTCCTATTTATAGCTTAAAATAGCCACATACGTTTTTTTCTTTTCTTTAAGAGCTGCACCAGTCATGCTTTCCTGGCTGTTAACAGTTTTTGCATTTCATTTCTGCTGAAAAATGAAATGCAGGGGAGTTGATACAGGTTTTGATTTCTATTCCAACAGAAAAAATAAAATATAAGATTCAATTTATTTATGCATAAACCCTTTTTTCTTTGTTCAAGGCATCAAAGTAGAAGCTTTCAATTGATGCCTGCAATGACTGAAAATGTAGTTGCATTGCAGTCAGTTGTGGGGTTTTGACCTTCTGAACACGGATCAAAGCTCACAAAGGGAAAATTTCCCAATTCTGTAATCTGGTTGATAACACGTGCTATTTCTACTTTCTTTGGTCACTGTTGGCTTCCTTTTTTCACTGCAATTGTTATCATTCCTCTGTTCAAAACATGTTGATATGAGTTTCCTGTTACCAAGCTGATGTATTTATCGTCTCCTGTGTATCAAGTGGAAGGTGATAGTTTGAGCAAATATTCAGTGGTAGCTTTCTACTGTTTTATATGCATGGACTGCAACTGGTTTAGGTACCTGTTTACATTTCATGATCTATAAGGGAATCCCTCTTATTAATTTTTGCACAGTTGTTACCCTTTTATGGAGCTTTTAACATTTCATCTTTGGAAAGTGCAACTCAGCCTGACTGTTTCCTCCTTCACCTGTTTCTTAGACATCAGATGCTAAACAAGCATTAATACAGATCTTAAGATGCTGTGCTATTATATCAGTGTATCAAAAGTATCGTAATACAAATTCTTTCATGAGCTATTTTTATTTTAAACAGAAATTGCATCAAATCTTGCTCCTGCTGTTAAAACAAAACATTTGTTTATTAGAAGATTCAAGTATTCAACTTTTTCCTGTCATTCAACATTATTTGGCAATGTTCAGTTTAAATTTGCAGGACATCTGTCAGATCAGCCTTCCTCCACCTGACTGCTTAGGTCATAATATGTTGTAACAATCATTGTTGCATTTAAAATCCCATCATCAAAATTATCAGACATAAATGCTGAAATGTTTCACTCATTGTACTTATTGAATCTTATGTATGAATTATATTTTTTATTAAAATAAAACTTTTTGGGATCTTTCTCTCTACTTATTGATGCACCTGTATTAATCATTCCTGCTCTAATAATTTTATTGATTTGCATTGTTAAAGTAGATTTTAATACTTAAACTTAAACATAAATATTAAAGAAACACCCTCTATATTTAGTAGTATTTAAGTGTTGTTGAAAATATTCTTCCCTTTAAATCTTTTCACTCTAAATAGGACAAAAATAATCAAATATTAGCTTGCGAGCTGATTGTTATTGTCTTTATTATTCGTGGCATAGTTCCTTATAGGTAGCATAAAGAGATTTTCCTCTGTCTCACCATGATGGCATCATCAAGCTGCTGTCCATATGTCAGCTGTACATCTATGATGCTCGTCTTTGCCAACATATTCCAGAAATCTCCTCATGCACTCAGATAATTCTAGCTCTGTGATTAATTACCCTGCTGAAAGTCACCGTTTTATCACTGCATCATAAAGGGATGGACATGCTGGTGGGGTAGGTGGTGTAATTCATTGGGAAATCACTTGGTATAAAGGGGCCCACAGTTTGAAAATGTCCCCCATACCATTACACTACCACCAGCCTTAACCATTAGGAGAAGAAAGATAAATTTTTATTTTTTTTAACATACCTGGAGTGGCCTATGGTGCCTGTGTTGAGCTGGATGCCGGTCACTTCTGAATATCCACCAAATCCATCTTGAATATAACGCTCCGATTGTTTGAGAGATTGGACCTATTCAACATGGACGCACTTGTCCAAATATGTCTCTGGTCATAAAACGTTCAGACTTCTTGCAGGCAGCTGACTTTCAATGTGCAGCAAGAGAAAAAGGAGGGGGATGCTGTTCAGTTTTACATTTTTTTTTA